TTCTTTCTTTCTTTCTTTCTTTCTTTCTTTCTTTCTTTCTTTCTTTCTTTCTTTCTTTCTTTCTTTCTTTCTTTCTTTCTTTTTCTTCTTTCTTTCTTTCTTTCTTTCTCTACATCAGATACTGGGCTTGCTGCTTGTTAACCAAACTGAAAAAGCAAATAAGATGTTGGTGCTCTTTCAAGCCAAAGACTTCTCCGCACCAGGCTGGCAGTATATATGCCTCTTAATTTTTTTTTTCATTTTCTCTGAGGTCCCACTAACATAGGAACTGCAAAACATTTAATAAACAAGAAATCATCCAAAGCAGAGAATTGCCTAAAAAGCTCAGGAGACATCAAATACACTAAGCTAGGAACAGATCTGGGCGTCAAACTTGAATTCAGACTCTCATAAGCTTCTCGTTACATTGGTGGTGGTTCTGAACCTCCTTCCTACATTACTCACTAGTATCCTAAAATATACTGAAATGACCTCCTGATGCAATGATACTTCTTCTAATTCTTTCACAAGAACTTGGTATTTAAGAGCTGGATCTTTCTGGTGAACTCAAGTCTGGGAATGAAGGCAAAGAGGGAGTAGTCAGTGGTATAAATATACTGACAGCAAGTTCCTGCCTTCCATAGCAGCAGCTGTAGACTTCTATTAAGGCCATAAATTGTTCACAACAGAAACGATCCTTTTGTTCTACACTTGTTTTACACTCATTTAGCCTGGTGAGACCTTGGGATTACTCTTAGTCATTCTGATACAACATTTGTCAAATGACCAAAAGACAAGTTAAAAAACAAACTTTGGGGTAATCTACTTTTAATGATGCAGAGAGATGAAGATGGTAGTTGAGGGAACACGGATCTTGTGAAGGACTGCAAGTCAAGAAAAGATGGGCTTCAGTTTGCTTCCCTTTTCATCCGCAAAACACGACTGTGATTTGAGCCGCTCTCATAATAAAAAACAATAAATCATTTTAATGATTAGCAATTCAAACCATTCCATGTTAAAAAGTCATGCTCCAAGGTCAACTAAGACAACATAGCCTGTGCTACATGCTAAAAATATCTGAGTGGTTGTGGAAGCTGGCCAGGAAAAAACTGAACCAACATGATAAATCCCAAACCTCCTGCCCCAAATACTAAATCCATTGCTAACGTTTCAGGCTGGGCCACCAGCATGCTCCATTCCTCCTCTTTCACCTCTGCAAAGGCCTAAGTCCCCACAACGCCGGGGCTGCTGCAGAGCAGCCCTGCACTGCCAGGCTGGACGTGTGCGCGGAGGCAAGTGCCAGGGCAGGCTGGAGCTCAATGGGAAGCGTCCGCAGGGTTGAAAAACTGCTGCAGTTCTCCAAAAATATGGCAAGTATCAGCATCTTAAGACACTACCAACTGAAGGAACAAAGCCTTCTTTTGAGGTGTGAGCAGAGCGGCCCCCGCGGAGCCTGCGGTGGGAATCAATGGGGCTTCTGTCAGGCCGCTCCGTGTGGCCGCCAACGCTCGGCCCTTCCTGGGCTCCGAAAGACGGCGAGGCAGCAGCCTTAGGAAATGAAGCGGCATATTATGGAAGGACTCATCCACAGCCAGCGGCGTACGTAAAGGAAAGCAAAATCCACAAAGCGGCAACCCAGACGGACAGAAAGAACCTACGTTCTCTATCACACATAATGAAATATCTGACAGAACAACATCTGCAGCGGGAGCACAGCTGCTGAGGATGAGAGGGAATATGAGTATTATTTTTCAATTGTAAGATGCACTAAGCAGGAGTGCCTTTAAAATAATATGGCTTAAGGGAAGATTAAACCAGATGCACAGGGCTATCTGGCTTCTTTCAAGATGCAAGTCCAGCTGTGGAGTTTAAATTCGACAGTTAAAACTAAAATTGATCGTAGGTTCATAACTGATGTGAGTATATAGACCATTATAGACAAATTACATGCAGTTGTGGACATTTATAGTCTATAGTTTTATAGTTTTGCTGCAAATTTAATCCCAAACCTTCTAAGTCTGGCCTATGAGTTTGCTAAATTAATTATGTTACATTGCATAAGCTTGGAAGGCCACAGGAATATCAATCATTTACGGAGGCAAAATGACCAAAACTTCTGTGTACCTCTGTGCTTGCTTACAGCAATTTTAAAACATTCAGAAGCTAAAAGCAAGGGTAATTCATTGCACCAAGCAAACAACGTTGAAAGCCTAGCAATGAACTACATTTAATGACAGAGAATTGGTGGACAAGTGTCCGCAACAACAGCCCCAAATGGTGAAGCAATCAGGAGAGGAATAGAAAACCTTGATTCATTTTCCCATTTTACCACACCAGACATTATGCAAGCCAATTAACCTCTTGTTCAGATGTCCATCTTTAAAACAGAAAAACTCAATAACTGCACAGGGCATGGCAACAATAAATACGTGCGACTCTGAGAGGTAGTTAAAGCACTGTCTTGCCAGGAGTCACAAAAACATTTGCAATACGTCTCCTCCAGGCTGGTGGAACTTGCAGGCTAAGACCCAGCTCTCTGATGTGCTGTGTAGCTATTTCGGCTCAGCTTGCATTTGTTTCGTAAGGGTGTGAAAAGCTGCTACTCTAATCTGATAGCATTTCACTGTTTTAGATGGCTAAATCCCGCTGCTGGAGCGGAGCAATTCGTCTAAGCTAGTCATCTAGGGTTTCTCTATTGTCACTGGAGGGAGATTAGTTATACTAAAGAGCATTACCCTCTCTCTGCATCGACAACACAGGGATTAGATCCCTAACTTTCAGATACATTAGGCAAGACGAATTCCGCTGATGTGACTGATGCAAAGGTGAGAAACCCCGTGTTTTTCTTGAGCGTTCCAGGTGGAAATGCATGTGCTGGTGCTGCTGGTAGTGCTGCTGGGATCCCCGGCACCGTGATGGCCCTGCCCATGCAACTTGGGCATCTCAGGCAGGTCTGGCACCTCCAGACATAGCTTGGACCTGGCTGTAGGACTTCTCCAGGAATTGGGATTTAGCCAGACAAGACTTGCAGGTCCAAAGCAGACCTATGTCTTACACCCCTACAAAGCCTGAGGTAGAAGATGGATCAACTTCAGCTTCAAACTGGAGTATATTGAGTCTTTTCAGCATGCTTAGAGAAAGCAGACAGGTCATTTAGGAATCTCCTCCTAAAATCTCCTGCCAAAATGAGTAATTCACAGGTTGCAGTTCTTATGCCACTAGAAATTGTAGAACATGAGACCTAGTGTTGCTGAAACCAAAGTACACCGAACCATGTTGCTTAGCAATGCGAAAGGCAAGGAGACTCAATATAGCTCACCTTTGCTTTTATTGGGGTTGTTGTTGTTGCTTTTTTTTATCTAGAATAAATAATTTCATTTGTTTATCTGTTTAGACTTTTACTTTTACTTTTTTTTTTCCCTGGTTCATTCAGCCATTAAGATAGCCATACATAGTCCATCAAACTTGGTATTAGTCTCCAGAACCCTGATATCTGAGAGATTACACTGACCGGGACAGCAATCACCGTATAGTATTAGACAGTCTCACATTTGCTATTTATATTATGCATGTACATACAGGTTGCATTTCTTTACTCTCATGGGATATGATAGCACAAGACAAAGATGCAGTTCCTCACCCATATGTATCTTGACACAGCTTCATTGCAAAATCTTATCACTCGATTGTGGAGGCAGTTGTGTGTGCATCCACACTATCTCCAGGACAGATACTAACTCTGTAGACGCACTGTGTGTTCATCATATCCACAGTATCTAAGAGTGTCATCTCTGTGCACAGGAAAAGGAAAATTACTTTCAGTCTCCTGCAGTAAAGATACAGCAAAATCATGGTCTTCTGGTTGAAGCATGCAACTGAGAAACAGCTTAGCATGTACCAGTAGCTTCTTTTGTCTATTTTGGTCCATTTTTGGATT